AAGGTGGTGCTCCTCCATGCTCAGGGTATGGATGTGAAGCACATGGCTGCAAATATATCTAAACAGCCTGAGGACCTGGTTTGTGGTGAAACAGATCACCCATGGCTATCTGGTCACGGATGGTGGCCCAAACATATGTAAGGCCGCCGAAAAAGCCAAACTCAGAAATATTGTTTGTATGGTGCACAAGATTCACCTGGTAGTGATTCATGCCCTGGGCCTGGGGAATAATGATGTGGCTGGAGAGGCCACTGCCAAGATCAGCTCCCTACTGGAGAACTGCCAGTGCTTGGCAGGGCACTTCTTAAGAAGCATCAATGCTTTGTGGCTGCTGAGCGAGAAGCACGGTCTGGGGGATGAGATGGAGCACATCCTCCTCCAGGACGTTGGCACACAGTGGAACTCCACCTACGCCATGATTGCCCATTTGGTGGAGCAGAAAAGTGTGCTCCAGGACGTCGTGTCCTCCAAGGGGGGGGGGGGGGGCGAGCTAAGCATCAGCTCCAATGACTGGCTGACCCTCTCCCAGATGGTGTGCATCCTGAAACTGTTTCAGGATACCACCAATGTGCTCTGTGCTCACACAGCCAGCCTGGGGCAAGTCATCCCTCTCATTCATGAACTAGATCAGGCAATGGAGTCTATGCTGCAGCTACGCCCTGAAAGAAGCGAGGTTCTCCCTCGAGTCAGGTCCCTGGTCAACAGGTTGCGCAAAGGCATCGAGGAGCACTTGCATCCACTTTTTGAGGTGTGGGAATTCAAGCTGGCATGCATGTGTGACCCCCGTATCAAGGGAAGCATTGCCCTCTGAAACACGCAGCTTCATCAGTGGAAGCGTGAACTGTGCTGCCGGGTGCGGTGATTCCAACACCATGGCTGGGGGCAGAGAGAGCTGAGGGAGGTGGGAGATGACGAGGTGGAGGAGGACGAGGACAAGGAGGGGGAAGCTGAGGAGGGAAAGGGGAAGGAGTGGGGAGAGCAGGAAAAGAGGGGATGGGGGTGGCGAGGAGGGCAAGGTCATGGAGAGAGGGGGGCAGAACTGAGAGGAGATGTGGGAATGAGACTCAGAAGTTCTGGATGTCTGTTGTGAAGTGGGAGGTATGGAGCGTTGGTGTGGGCACCAGGCATGCGATGGCAGAGGATTCTGCCAAAGTGATGGTCTGAGCCCCCCGAGCCTGCCAACTCAGATCCACTCAAGTACTGGGCACGCAAGGCCACCATATGGCCAGATCTTGCCAGTGTGGCCACCAATCTGCTCTCTTGCCCTCCCGCTAGTGTCCAGAGCAAGCGGGTGTTCTCCCATCTGGGTTTTGTCCACATCGATTCTGACTAGACCTGGCCAGGGTGGATGAACTGTCCTTTCTGAAGGTCAGTCTATCCATGCTGGGCAACCCTTTTCTGGACGGGGTGGATTGAGACCACGGTCTCCGATCTTCCCTCCTCATGCACCCCCTTCCTTCTTCTCCTCTTCCTCTATGGGTGATCCCGGCATGTGGCCCACAGGGTGCATCCTTTGGTGCCTGGGTGGGGAAAAGGCCACCTCTGCTGGGAGGGGTTGGTCCTGATTGGAAATCACTTTACCATTTCATGGTGAAGAGTGGGCTTGTGGGAAGGAGAACCAACCGACCCAATGTGTATGTTCCTTGGGCCCCAGGCGGCGGGGGGGGGGGTCGGTCCTGCCCGGTTATCGCCTTGCTGGAGGTTGGCCCAGGGACGGAGCGCCACCCATCCCCATGTGGGTGTTCATCAGTCCCCGGGCTGGGTGGGAGGATCTGCCTGGTTGGTAATCACTTTACCGTTTCAGGGTGGACGGTGGGACTCAGGATGGGAGCACCACCTGTCCCTGTGTGGGTGTTCCCAAGGAACTGGGCAGGGCAGAGGGGTCAGTCCTGCCTAGTAGTCACATTGCCTGTGGGTGGAGGGTGGGCCCGGGGAGAGAGCACCACCTGTCGCCATGTGGACATTCCCTGGACCCCAGGCTGGGCTGGAGGTTCTGCCTTGGTCGGTATTCACTATACCATTTCAGGGTGGAGGGTAGGTCTGGGGGAAAGAGCACCACCTGTCCCAGTATGTGTGTTCCCCGGGCCCGGCGGGGGGGGGGGGGGGGGG